AATGGAACATAGGAGAAATAAAGAGAGAGGGTTTAAGGTTTGCCAATCCCTGAGGTTAAAGAAATGCTAGATATCATAGAGGAGAAAGCTGCATCAAATATATATCTGGCTGAGACACTTTATTACATTGGGTCAGTCAAATGTACTGCTGTCTGAAATTATTGTAGTGAACAGATCAGATGTTGAAGGGAACCATTCAGAGGCCATAGTGAGATGGATTTGCAGTGACAGGAGTATATTGGGGCTTTATGCTGCTAGGGCTGTGCAGAACAGGTCATTGAAAAATACATAGTTGGGATAAACATTTCATATATAATAATAGATTCATTATAATGTAGTCTCATAAACAGGCTTGAATGTGGAATTTTTTATTCAAGTAGGGAGAGTTAAATTTAAGTAAGGAGGGTTAAAGGACAATAAGTTAGCAACTTCACTTTCTAATCACTTTCTGAAATTGCCTATTAATCATCTTAAAGCTATTAGAGACTTTCAAAATGACAACTTTGAAAAGTCACTGGATGAGTTTAGGATCAATTCTGAACAAAAGAAAAATTAATTACAAGCTTAAGAACTTAAAGAATTCGAAATAAATAACTAAAGCTAAATAAGATATTGATATAAGAAAGTTACAGATTGACAAAGGATCCAGATAAATTTGTAATATTGAAACTTTTACAATAAGATTTTGGAATTAATCATAAAAGACAAACAGCTTCTCATGGGAAATAGATCTGTTTTGATTTTTGTAAGATGTAATTTGTTTTTTTTAAAATGGACACTGGAGAAGACTAAAGATTCTAGGCAGGCAGAAAAAACAAAAGCCTATAATTTGTGTTAATTAATTGGAGCCTACAAAATAGCACAAAATGATATCACACTGAAAATATTACAAGAGACTTTTGAAGAATGGAGACAGAAATTAGTAGCCCCAATATCAAGCATTGTCAATCGTGATTGCTGCCTCAGATATGGAACAAATATAAATGGTACCAAAAGTGGATTTACAAATGTCAGACTGAAAGAACGATTTGGATGTCTCACATGATATACATGTCTCACGTGATATACAAAAGAAAGTAGCTGATGTTTCAAAACTCAAAATGAAATGCAAATGTTAAACCAAGAAAGTGACCATTTTTTTCTATTAGCTTTATAAAAGAGATTTCTTAAAGACATGAGCTCTGTGTAGTGGGATAAAGCAAAGTAAAAATAAATTCAAATTCTGTAATATTAGTTGAATGAACTAAAATTAAAACTGTTAGGAAGGGATATAATATTGGTTTATTTGGTTTATTGGTTAGAGCAAGATATGTTGTTACTTTGGGCAACCCTTTATGGATTTTTGCTGATGCTAGGATTGAAAAGATGATGACATATTTATTATTTAATTTTTTCATTGCTTATTTCCATTGAGCTAGAACCAATTAACTATATTTTCTACAGAAATATCACTTTGAACAATGCAACCATTTCTTGGAATTCAATAACCACACTGATTGAGACCTACCTATATTTGTTTTCTGTATAACACTGCTCACCCTAAATAGAATCAGGGTGAGCAGTGCGCTCACATTTTCGGTTCTAAGTGAACTGGTTGTTACAGTATATGATGCCCACCTCTGGCTGTAGAGCACTGTGAAGCGGTATATAAGTCTAAGTGCTATTGCTATGCTACCCACACTCAACATGGCAAGAAAGTCATATGTTATCATGGGCATTAAAATTATTTCTATATAAGTAAAGCTGTGTGAGATATGATGAATTTATTTGAGTTCAGTAAAATGAGAGAAAAGTCTGTCTGAATATTAAACCTGTGCAATGTCTCAGATGGATTATTTGTTTTGACAATGATTCAAGTGAGACATTATTTTGAAGTTGTTTTCCAAAGCAAAATACAAACACACACATGCTTCTGAAAATTACAGTTTCTAAAGCTTTTTATATAATTTTATTTTTGTATTTTTTTATGTTTTACATTTTTTGGTAACCCACCTCACCTTCCTTATGCTGGTCTTTGACACACAATACATTAATACCTGGTCATGTTGCTTTGCTTTGCCTGATTTCGGAGGCCTCCTCTAGCAATTACAATTTTCAGCTCCTGAAGACACAGACCTATTGGGATCACTAGAACTGGTTTCTATGTGGCTTTGCGAGGCATGCATAGAAACCCTTTTTATTTAATAAAAGGGCCAAATGAAGTTTCATAGTGCCAAATGAAATTTCATAGTACATCAATATTCGCTGCATCCATGACACCAAATCCTTCATCAATGCAAATTATAGCTCTTTTGCACATCCCTACTAGATGTGAAAGGCAGTATTCTAGATTTAGAAACTAAAGGTGTAGCTGCTTGACACATCTGAGTTCTACTGGAGTTCAACTAATAGATTTGTCAGCCTAACTTTCAAAGACTCAACTGAGAATTAGTACAGAATTATTCTTTCTCTCTCTCTCTCTCTCTTTGCAATTTTCTGATTGACATTTCTCGCCCAAATGAAATCTTCCCACTTTCATTTTAAAATGTTTAAAGATGTCTTCACAACTATAATAAAAATATTCAAGGTGATGAAAGACCAGGAATATGATGATGTTCTTGTAATTATTGCAGAGCTTGCAGGTACAAACCATCTGGCAGAACTGTTAATAGCAGCCTGTTCTCCGAGTGTGTTAACTTTGTGAAAAGCTTTCAGAGGCAGCCCTCATTTATATTCCCAGCTATCTTTGCAAAGGTCAGACTCGTCAATAAACAAAGGCAAAGGACCTATATGTTTATTCACACATCAGCTGCATTAGAAAAGCCATTCTGAAATGTTTAAGCAATTAACAAGGCTTTTGCTCATTGATATTCTGAACTCTTACAATTTTCAAATAATATGAAGATGAAAATCTAATGGCATTTTATCCATTCCAAAAGCAATTCCAAAAGCCCAATTCATATACATTAAAGCAATTTAGAATTTATCTTTGTCTACAGCCATTTGAATGAGGAAATGGATGGGCCAGCATGTCTGTACAGTTCTCTCTGAGTATTTTTGTATATAGCTGGACAACTCATGACTTATTTTGTCATTGTTTCAGAGATATTTCCTTGCTTAAACAGAAACAGAATTATCACAGGCAGGCAAAAAATCTTTCCCCCCTCTTCCCTAATATGCCTAAAATAATGTTAAATATTCTTAAATTGTAATATTACTATACATTAAAACTGTCAAAATTCTATGGAAAAGTTTCACATTTTTGAACTGGCACCATTCTTCCTCCTCCAATTTGTTCCAGAAGTAACTTTCTGGAGGTGCTGAAAGTTGTGTTTTTCATTCCTGTTACTCTGTGTGTGTGTGTGTGTGTGTGTGTGTGTGTGTGTGTGTATTATGTTGACCTCTTTGCACAGTGGGTGTGGCCCAATACCAAGCTCACACAGAGCCAGTAGAAATGGCGTAAGTAACAATTGAAGCACAACATGCAAAAAGTCTCAAGTGTTTATTAAAACCTGATGATCTATAGTTTATTTCCTTGTGGAACCTTGTGTTTTTCCTTCAGACAAAGAAATGAAAAGCAATTTTCACAGCTAAAAATTACCTTTCTGTAGAGGCTCAGCTGCAATTCTGTTATCTTTATTTTTCCTGGAGGCACACACTTCCTTTTTTTTTTTTTTTTTGATGAAGATGAAGGGGAGAAAATCACTATAAGACCATTTTTACCTTCTATCACATTGTGTTTCACTTTGATGCATGTGAAGTCACTGAATCCCTGTTGATTACCTAGTCCTCTTCACAGAAGCTCATTAGTTTTCTCTTGAGTGTATTGACAATTCTCTGGTATTTATGGCAATCATTTAGACGCCCAGGACAGCTTTGCTCCATATATCCACACCATCAAATAATCCTTGTATTTGTTTGAGTGAAGCATTTGTAATCATGACTGATGCTTGTTTAACAGCTCTAGAGACTTAAGTACTCCATGTCTTCATAGACTGAGTTATGCTATGGTACATTTAGAAATGATAAGAATAAAGGGGTAGTTGGCTATTTTTTTTAACCCATCTACTTTCACCAATCTTCTGAAGTTATATTTTTTATTATCCATCCTTTTTATTTTTTTTAAATGAAAACCATTTTGCAGTTTTTTAAATAGATGTACAAACATCTTTATTTTATGGTACCCTGCTGCCTCCCCAACTAAATTTCTATCTTAGAGGATTCCTCTATACAAGGCATGGTGCACAGGAGATGCACATGAAGGCTGCCAGTCTCCTCTGATACAGACATCAGAAAGGACAGTCCTATGTCTGCCCCAATACATTACTCTAAGAATAATTGCACTAAATGGCATGTTGTAAAGTAGTGGACAGATGTCAAAACCCAGTGGCCCCAATGTGACAATAATTTAATTTAAGGCAAAAGATACACAACACTTCTAAATATGTTGTGCTAACATGTCTCCAAATGAACAGAGATGACAATTAAATTGGGTGTTCCTGTTGTTTTATCTGGGCTTGTTCAACACAGCAAGGTCGATTATTTTATAATATAGGAATTATGTTGGGAGCTATAAATTTCAAGGCCACAACCAGCAGATACTCATCTTCAGAATTCCAAAGCCGAAAAAACATAAGGCAAGATGTTAATTAAACATGGAAAAATATGAAAAAGGATCATTATATTTAAATTGTCACAGGTACATGAAGGATTATTATTATTATTATTATTATTATTATTATTATTATTATTATTATTAATTGAATTTCTATACCGCCCTACTCCCGAAGGACTCAGGGTGGTGTACAGCCAGATAAAATACATATAATACAAATGTTAAAAAGGCATTAAAATACAATTAAATAATTGGCCCGGAAAATGAAATTTAAAACACCCCAAATTCATAGGACAAATTTAAAATTGAAGAATTTTAAAATTTTAAAAAGTTTAAAAGAGAGGTTAGACCAGGCACATCAAGAAAAATCTCCTGAATATATGCATAGATTGCCCACCATGTACTACGCCTTAATTTAGAACTATATTTTGTAAAATAATATATAGGAGAAAAATACATATTCTGGGGAGAAAACGTTTCCTGAAGATGGGCTTCAGCACAAGTCCAAAAGCTTGAAAGACTAAACCTCTGGTCCCGGTGACCAATCCAGATTGGATCCTGCAGGAAAAGAAAATATTTGCAGTGACTACAGAGCTTGTGGGTTCTCAAACAGTAGGTGTCATGATCACTTACTTTGTACTTGTATTTACACAGCCTTCTGATAATAAATATTTTAGCAGTAATGTAACTGCTAAAACTGGATGCTATCCAAAAGAGACCACAGTTTCTTTCCTTGCACAGAACTGTAAATATTTTGCTATTAATATTGATGGAAATGTAAACCAAACTGAAAATGCAAGGTAATTCTAATTTGCATTGTATCTTGATTTGTCATTAGAGAGAAAATTCCTCAGCACTGGGCCCAAGGTAGAAGTTCTGTAACTTGATAAAAAGCTGGATGAGACGAGAACATATAAACACCATTGAAAATGGCACTTGCATTTTAACTAGACCAATTTAATATAAACCTATTTATTGAAGTTCTTTTCAGAAAGGAATGTGCAATAAGCTGAGAAAATGAGGGAAAGTGAATTAATTACAGTTATTAAGCTAAGGTGGTGTAGACTTCAGAATTTGGTCTCCAAAGGTTCTTCAAATAGCAAGAACATTATGTATTATTGTTGTTGTTATCTATTTATTTAATTCCATTTATATGGCCACTTATCTTAGACAAGAGGCTCACAACAATTAAAAGAAAATACATACAAGAGACTACAAAATAAATATGCCATCTGCAACCAAGATTAAAAGCTACCACCATCAATACAACCACTTCATGGTATCCAATTAATACTCCAATCCCATACCTAGGAACAAATCCACATCTCCAGGGCTTTGTGAAAGGCCAACAGGGTTGGGCCCATTGTGATCTCTGGGAGATGTTGAGATACAGGGCAGGCACCACAACAGAAAAGTCTCTTTTCCAGGCTTCTGCCAGATGATGGATGAGACCTGTAACATGACCCTCCTGACCAATCTGATTTGGGGGGGGAGAGAGACCTGAGATCAGATCAATTTTCCTTTATAAAACAGCTGGCTTTTATGACATTTGAGGCCTGCATCCATGTGTTCATTGGACTTTCTAAAAAGGTTCAGTTAACTGCTGGACCAAACAGTCTAATTTTATCTTTAAAACAAAAATCATCATGACTTCAGATGTTATCAAACTTGTTTCAATCCAGCTCATAGAGACCAAGTAAACCTTCCACCTGTTCCCAGAGAATTTACTATACTGACCTATGAACATGAAACTGGGACATTAATTCTATCTTTAGCATCCTGGAATGCATCCTGGATAATAGAATGTTTTGTATTATTCTAACTGTCAAAGATTTCAAATATGAACAACACATTGCAATATGTACATATATACACAGTGAAATGTTTAGGGAGCCCTATAAACCAATTTGCCCCTTAATTATTTTGCTAAGCTATTTTTCTGTTCAAAGCTTCAGTGGAAATACTGAAAAGAAATCTGTTGCATATTCTTTCCATCCTGTTTTTTCTTTTTCTTTTTTTCTGGTTCTGAATTTGATTCACTCTATGCTGAACACTTTTATATGTTTCCCTATTTGGTAATTCAGAAGAATTAGTAGATATTTTAATTTTAATTAGGTTTTGCTAAAGACAGCCAAGCTGCTGTAGTGGTTAAGGCACCAGGTTAGAACCTGGGAGACCATGAATTTAGACATGCCTTATGCATGAAGATAGCTGAGTGACATTAGGCCAGCCAGTCTCTCTCATCCCTAGCAAGCAGACAATAGCAAACAATTTACCAAAATCATCTTAAGAAAACAGGGCAAATTGTCCAGGCAGTCACCAGCAATCAGTACTGACTCAAAGGCATCATACACACACCTACATACATACAATCAAATCACAGATCCAGATACTGTTCTAAAGTAAATTTTAAAAGATGTGGTGTCAAGGAGAGATCATTGCCTTAAATCAGGGGTATCAAACTGGTGGCCCGCAGGCCGGATGTGTCACACACAGTTTATGCCCAGCCCAGCTCCGCGAAAGGAAAAAAGATTGCAAAACATCATGTGTTGGCAACATGACACCACGAGTTTGACACCCGTGCCTTAAATAGAATTATATATCCCTTGATTGCTTGAAACAAAATCTATTGCCTTTGTCACTTGTTGTTGCTGGGTCTATTGAATTAGATCCTTCCCGACATGCCAGATGCTCCATCCAGGTTTAAGTCTCAGTTTCACAAGTATTCATGTGCATATTATATTTGTCAAAAATATCTATATACTCTTGCTATATACTCTATATACTCTCAAGTATTATTTCTACTACTCAGATAAAGCATTTCAATTTATTCCTGCTAAAATAGCAGCTATTCAGATAGACTTAATAAGTAATTAATTAGGGGTTCCAATTTGCTCATAAAAACGTTGGTATAAGTTTTCATTTTTTCTTTAAAGCATTGTTATAAGTTTGTGGGCAACATATTCATTCGGTCAATTGAAGTTTATCCAACCTTACATTCTCCTGAAACTTCAGTTCCCAATGCACCCATATCTTGTTTTTTTTTTTGTAGGGTTTACTAGACCCAGACTTTGCAGCACCATCTGTCACACTTTTTGAAAACTTGAACTAAAATTTTATTTTTACTACATTTGATAAAGTAAATATCTTTATTGGGTAAGTTTTTATCTTAATTGTCCATGCAATTACTTGCTTGGCTTAATTTATATTTATATTTATTCTACTTTATAGAATTTAAATGTAAACAGATTGCTTAGGGTTTGTTTTTTTTTCCTCATTCACCATATAAAAAAAAAGGTGACTTTGTAGATTGGGTAAGTGTTAATTGATTCCCACAGTTTCTTCCATGTTCAGTTTGAGTCTTAATTAAAGATACAAAATGATGACCACCGCTGAGAATGGTAAGAACACAAAACAAAATTGAAAATAGAACACTAATAACACTTACAATATTGAAGTCTACCATGAGAAATAGCTGGATCCTTTTTCTCTGGGAGAAAAAATGACATGAATTGGCCTCCTTGTGCTCCTTCTTTATCTTTAATAGGATAGAGAAATTAGAAATCCATTTTCCAAACCCTTTATTGATATTTTGAATAACAAGGATTTTATTTATATTACTTAATAAGAAATGTTTATGGTTAGGAAGTTTCTTTATACTTGTTGAGCATGCAATTGTAATTAGCATGCAATTAATGAATCTTATGTAGCCTTGTTTTATTATACAGTAGAGATCAAAAACCACTGAAGCAAATGTGGAAAGATGCATAATAACTCCAATATGAAAGTGTAATTTGTAATTATTCTATTCATTCCTAGAGTGATTTGGGATGTTTGTGTTCCATCAGTAAACTTAGGTTAGCATATGTAAGGAGAAATGTAAGATCTTGCATATGCTTCTTTGCATCCAAGAACAGAATATCAAGAAAGCCATGCCCAGTAACTCAGTAAAATGTTAATTCAAATATAAACAAAAGCCAGTTTCTTATGCAGTAGTTCAAGAGTAAAACAAAGGACTGTAATTTAAAAAGTTAGACCTGAAGTCCAACAAATTGCCAACTAATTGTTACACGGAATGTATTTTTGTTGCTCTAAAATACAGGATTCTTTGACTTTGCATCTGTTTATGCATCTCTGCTGATGAATCACTGTAAATGACATGAATAGAAATTTCTCATAATTTAAAATCATCCTCTGATATACAAAGATTACCATGAGTTTGCTTCTTAGTGTTCAACATTCCTTTTTTTCCTTTTTCTTATACCCAGCTTTTCCGCTATACAACTTGTAAAAGTCTAATGATTATTGTTCTTCCATTTCAACCCCAGTTTGGCTCTCTATGGACAAGGCAAAATTATGAAGGGAGGGTTTGAGTATAGCTTTAGTACCAATCTTCTCAACATAGCATCCCTTTGAACCGGGGGTGAAATCCAGCAGGTTCTGACAGAATTGGTAGTGGAAATTTTGAGTACTTCAGAGAACTGGTAGTACAAATTTTGAGTACTTTGGAGAACCAGCAAATGCCACCTCTGGCTGGTCCCAAAGTGGGATAGGAATGGGGATTTTGCAGTATCCTTCCCCTGGAGTGGGGTGGAAATGGAGATTTTGCAGTATCTTTCGCCTGCCACGCCCACCAAGCCATGCCCACCAAGCAACACCATGCCCACTAAGCCACTCCCACAGAACTGGTAGTAAAAAAAATTGAATTTCACCACTGCTTTGAACACATCGTGTTCTATCACATATAAGCAGGCCAACATATTGTGGCTGCTTCTGAAGTTAACAAGTTCATTTCAGATTAATAAACAGGTTGTCAGCATTCCAGAAAACCCCCCAGCTCCAAGTAAAAACTCTGAAGCAAGCATTTTCAAAGTTCTATTTACTAGAATAGGTAAACTGGTACATCTGGGAAAACCTGAATCTGAGAGGTTCCAGGTTTTCCCTCAGTAAATCAAAACCCCCAATACCATCCCCTCAGTCCTCAGTCGATCACATGCTCCAATCAACCGCCATCCCATCCACTCCGACGACTCCTTCTCCAGATGCAGGATCGGCCTGACCTTGACTGACAGGAAGAATGCTATTATGTCTATAGACAACCCCACTACTAAATCCCCCCTCCTACTTTCCCACACATGAGAAGGTTGCAGCATGGAAGCTTCTGGCCTAATATGGCTTCCAAAGCTGACACAGGTCTGTGTTCATATGTATACAGGTAGTCCTTGATTTATGACCCCAACTGAGTCCAAAATTTCTGTTGCTAAGCAAGGTAGTGAGTTTTGCCTTTCTTGCCACAATGGTTAATTAAATCACTGCAGTTGTTAAGTTAGTAACACAGTTGTTAAGTGAATCTGGCTTCCCCCTTGACTTTGCTTGTCAGAGGGTTTTGGAAAAGTGATCACATGACCCTGGGATACCACAACCATTATAAATACATGCCAGTTGCCAAGCAACCAAATATTGATCATGTGACCATGGGGATATTGCAACAGTTGTTAGTGTTAAAAAGTCACTTTTTTTTCAGTGCTGTTGTAACTTTGACCGGTCACTAAATGAATGGTTGTAAATCAAGGACTACCTGTAGTGAGCTGTGAGAATAACCCTGGGAGACAGGACGGAGAGCCTTACCTCTTGGTTTCCTGTCTGGACTACCTTGGAAGTGCATGTGCGTGTTCATTTAAACATCAAGTATATAAATATTTTTTGGAGGAAAAAATGCTGTAAGTACTTTAGAGGAAAATATTGAAAATCAATCTAATATAAGGCAGAAAGACAGAGAGACCAGACAGACAATGTATAGCCAATGCATTTTTTAAAAAAAATCATCTGTATATAGCTTAATAACTGTAAATAAATGATAATTTAAATGATGGACAATTTAAATTATAGTTACTTTGCTTGGTGTAAGCAAGAGACAGACTATGGCTTGTAAGGTGTAACTACAATGAATGACAATACTATCAAAAGAAAAAGCGAAAAAGGGCTCAGGTGTTCAAATATGGCAGCAAGAAATTTACTACATAAGGAAGAATGTAGAAGGGGGCAGTTTTCTGAATATATATTTAATTCCTCCTTGGCACCAAAGAGTTTTTTTTCCCAAACAATTTCATATTTTTAATTTTTCATTAAAAGCATGGAAATCATATAAGAGAGCTGGTTTTGCTATCATATAAAATGCTTCGAAGATATTCAATTGCAACAAGAAATTTTAAATGCATTGAGTCTTTGGAGAAAGGCAGCATATAAATTGAACAAATAAAATATAATTTTCTTGTTTAGACTCCCAAAGAATATCCTTTGTATTGGCTCTTAGACTGGCTCTTAAATAATCAGATACAGAATATAAACATGTACTAATTGCCATTTCTGGCATTTCAGATCATGACTGCATTGGTAGGCCATATGAAGTGCATGATTTATCTATTGCCAAGAGTGGCCTCTTGCTATTGCCTGAGTGATACAGCAATAACTATGCATTGGAATTTGGGGGTTTGAAGCCATATGTTATATTAAAATATACCAGGCAACTTATAATTAGATAGAAATGGAAGAGAGGCATAATCCAATTTATCTGGTCATATTTATTGATGAGGGTGATAATATTGAGAGGCAGAGTTCTTACACAACAAATAGGAAGCCTGCAATTCTAAATCTGCAGAAATTGGTTTGGGAGGAAGGGAGGGAGAAAGGA